AATGCTATATATATATATATATATATAAAAAGGAGCATATTTTCATATCCACAACTTATACTTCTGAAAACCTTCTTATTATTCTGTGAGAGTAAACCAGATAACTGTCAGATTATTTCTTCCTATAAATTTTATTCATGACGGTATGGTATTTTCTAGGTGGAGCAGAGCGGTAGGTTGACCAGGTACACTTGCTACTGACACAGATATCTTCCCTCATTCGTTGAGCGCTATTTTTTTTTTTTTTTGTTAAGGGACAGTTTTTGGCCACCTTATTCCTGCTCTTTGTCCTTATTGATAAATAAAATGGTTGGACAAGAAATGAGATTCACATGACTGAGGTTAGTTCTGCTGTGAAAGAAATATATGGAGAGTACAGTTAACCTGAGGATGTAGGAAAAAATAAGGCTACGATAATCTGTCTTGGGTTCACTATATTTGCCTGTGACACTGGATGCTGCTCAGTGTCAAGATCTTTTTTTCCCTTTAGTTTTAAGATAATGGCTTATAGCATGAAAATATGGTATGCATTCACAAATGCTATAAATATTTTCCTCTTTAAAGCAGAAAAAGTGCTTGGATATGTCCTGCACTGCCTTAAATCCCATCCTCCACAGTGAGTCTTAGGAGGTTCTTCTCATCCCTGCACACTCACCTTCAATGCTGGTGTACGTTTTCTCTCAGTGGAGTCTGTACATCGCTGAGCCAACTTGATGTGTGAAGAGTTGTCCCTGATTTTATAAAAGTTGTAAGTGTATGCAGTTGGGGTCATGATCCCCAGATTTGTCATCGTAAAGAAAAACATGAAGCAATTCATTATGGGGGTTCATCAAGGTCGATGACAAAATTGGAGAGGAGAGTGCAATCAGCTTCAAACCCCATCTTTACATGGAGTTACACTCCTTTTTCATATTAAGCATTCCTCCCCAAGGAAAACATATTGGTTATACAAACTAATCTTTAAGCTCTCAGACCAAATGTGTACTCTCAGCTGCTATCTTCAGCAGCAGGTGCTTTGGGGACATTTCAAGAGACAAACAAGTGCAATGCCCTGATTATTTTCTTCTTTACAAGTTTGCATTTATGTATTTACATCCTTCTGCTGCAGTTGTTTATAGAGCATTGCTGTGGAAACACTGGTGCCAAAAGAAAAACACATTTTAATTGCAGTCTGATGAGAAACAACTGTTTCTCATTTTGAATGTGTATGACAATGTTCTTAGCTATGAAATGATGATCAATGATCTATGAAATGAATGTTCATTAGGCTGGCACATGAGCTTCTAGAAAAGGTACAGTTAAATACCATTATTTGGACATGTGCTTTACATAACTATGAATTACTTTTAAACATAAGCAAAAAAATGACAAAATATTAAAGAATAACGTTCTCTCATAGATGATGTTTTCTGTGGAAAAAACGAGAAGCAGAGGACATTTTCACTGATGAATTAATAAACTATTAATTCTAGTAATAACTATATTATCAAACAAATGGAAATAGTGGTGCTTTTAATGTAATCTGTATATTATTCCTTTACTGTGTCAAAATTGAGAGAACTGGCTAAAGTATGAGAAACTTAAGGTTAACAACAGTTAAAGGTAACAACAGCTGCAGAGACCTTTATAAATACTCACATCACTTTCATGGCCTTCTCTTAGGTTGTAGGTGAGATCATGCTGTATGTCTTCAACAAACTTGTGAGCATACTCTGGGTAGAGGTCAAGTACTTCAAAGAGACCTTTGAGGATAATGCACTGGAGGTCACAGTACGTTAGAGCTTTAACGTCTGCATTTGTTTTAATTACTTGATCCCTAATGGATAGGTTTGCTCCAATTAAATCTCCTTTACCTGAAAGGAAATACGAAAATAATTATCTTCACAGCACAAATGCTTTACATTTTTTTGAATCATGAATTTGTTTAACATAATTACTAAATCTTAAATCTCATTTTTACCACTGCATTGAGTAATTAAACATTCAAAAGAATATTGACTAAATGCTGTCTTTTGGGTTTTTTTTTTGCAGGTGCAATCTTAAATGCAATTAATTGGAGGTACAAATTTCCAGACAGGAAAATTGAAGGGAGCAATGAAGTCAATATATATAGAACTAAAATTTTCCCTGGTAATTAATAGCAGGTATAATTGTTTTTAAAAAAATGAATATTATGTCTTTGGCTTGTTTTTTTTGGTGTTAGTAGAGACAATGGTTAAGATAGCATTTTACAATGATACAATTAAGTGTAGATCGTACATTGAAATGACCCTTTTACTTAGAATTTGGACTGCAGAACATTAGCAGTCTATGATAAACATGGCTGCATAGCTACATTTCATGATATATCTTAGTTATATGGGCTATTAATAGATGTATATCTCAATGATACTTCCATCAAGAAAAGGAATGAATTCTTAAGCCATTATATTTTCATTTATGGGTATGACTGACTTCAAATTCTGGATGTATTAAAAAATACAACTGACCATATACTGAATAGCAAAAAATTTTTTTAATGAAAAGTTATAATGAAATGATCTGAGGTATAAACTCCAAAGAGCAGTCATTAAACCAGTGGTCTTCCCCAAACGTTAACGCAGATGTCTGTGTTAAAGACCTGGACAGTGTGATGGCATGTATTCTGGGTAACTTTATGGGCAATATCAAATTAGGGGGTGTATATATGCTGAAGGGCAAAACCTGCTATTCAGAGTGACCTCAATAAATAAGAAAATGTTTGACAGGAACCTTACAAAGTTCAACAAAAACAAATGCCAATTCCTGTACCTGGGATAGAAAGTCTTCTTGCAGCAGTATAGGCTGGGGAGCGACCAGCTGGAAATCAGCTCTCCAGGAAAGGATTTGGGGTTCAACAAGTTGAAAGTAAGCCAACAATGAGCCCTTCCAGCAAAGAAGTCCAAGAACCTCCTGCATAGAGTTAGCAAGAGTGCAGTCACCAAGTCCCAGGGAGTAATACTTTCCCTCTATATGTCAATTATTATAACACATCTGGAGCACTGTGTCCAGTTTTGGGCTTTCCAGTACAAGACAGACTACTGACATCCTAGAGTGAGTCCAGAATAGGCTGCCAAGACAGTCAGTGACTGGAGAACATAAACTACAAGGAATGGTCCAAAAACCTGGGTGTTGTTCAGCCTTAAGAAGAGAAGGCAAAGGAAGTATCTTATTGCTGTCTTCAGTAGCTGAATGGAAACTGGTAGAGAAAACAGAGCTAAATTCCTCTGCAGAGTGAACAGTGTAAACAGATGTACTGAGCACAGGTTGTTACGGAAAAAATTGTGATTAGAAATCAGGCTGGTCAAACAGTGGGACAGGCTTCCCAGAGGTAATGTGGAATCGCCATCCTCAGAGATGTTCAAAATTTGCCTGGCCATGGTCCTGATGAAGCTGAGCTAAACTGGCCCTGCTTTAACCAGGTTTAGGTTGAGTGACTTTCAGAGGTACCTTCCAATCTTTCTGTGGTTAGTAAGTAATAAGTGAAGACTGTAAAATCTGAAAATCCACTAAAAGTGATTGCAATTGGATATTACACAGGAAATGGTGAACTTAAACTAAGCAGCCAACCATCCCTGAAGCTGCTTAGATATGATAATTTTATACTTTAAAATACTGCTTGTATTTTCTCTATTTGCATGGAGCTTGAACAACCTTCTCAAAAAAGCTATTACAAACCCAGTTTAGGGAGGGATTTTCTTTTGTGCTAAGAATATATATACATTCGTGCTACCTTGGAGTTTCTTGAAAACTGCAATTGGTAAAAATGAGAACTAGTATTAGTTTATGGAAAGGTAAATCTAAGAGATGACAATAATATTTGTCACTGCTCATCATATGATGTAATGTTTACATAATCAAATATACAAATGCTAAGCAATAATTTCCTTTTACTTTTTACTGTAAGTATCAATGTGTCTTTAGATTTGATTGTATTGAGCAGAGGGCTGGCAATTTCATTTTATTGTTGGCTGTGTAAATACAGGCAAGTGAAAAAATATCACAAATACACTAAAAATGATCTTTAACCATCCTAATTAGAAACTTTTCAGGTATTAGTATCAATAATGTATAAATAATTTGGAAAAAAATATTAGAGTTGTATGTGATTGTAGTTACAGCGTAGTTTCAGCCTCAAAGACACTACAATTGATCTGGTAATGCTACTGTGTATTTCTTTCCAAATGCAAACAAAGGCTGCAGGTAGTAAGCTGAAGTTTTATGTAGAATTGCTGCACCATTGAAATGATTGTACCTTGAATATCAACATTTGCAATCATGTAAGTTATTCTTAATAGCTCTTTCTTTTTAAGTGTTTATGCGGACACATCTGTTTGTTAATATATCTGAGATGTGCAGTCAGTTATACATTTCTTCTCTTTATGGATATCTTTTAAATCACTTATGGATAATATTTTTAAATAAATTTAAGATGTATGCTCAAATAGTACACAACTGTTATATTAAAACATATTCTCCTATAAAAGATATCTAACCATCATTATTATATATCAAGTAATAATCTCAACAGGTATCAAAAAACTACATTTAATCAGAGCATTTCATTGTATTGTTGCTGTGTGGCTTGTTGGTGAGAATGGTTCAGTAAGCAAAAACTAATGCACTAAAATTAAAATCATGGCAGAATTAAAAAATAGTGGTCTGGGAATTGAAAGTAACCCAGCATTGTCAGGAAAAAAACCCTTGATTTCTTGGATTTACATCACATCAGTAACACAGTTCCTCATAGGTACCCACATGTTTGATGCATTCACCTTCTGCTGGTGTTCATTATATTTAAATGATGAAGCTCCCATTCACTTCAATGAAACATTATTTTATTGTACTATGTTTATGTTTTTGCATTATGATTTCATTAACTTCTCTCGGAAATCCATTAATCTCTTTCTTATTGTATTCATTGTCACCTTTACACAACGATGCTTTCATTAGCATTTTCAGAAGTGCCTGAAAGTGGAATCATTAATGAAATCATGGTTCCAACGGGGGCAGCTCTTGACCTTTTGCAATACTTAAGCACATGTATCTTCAAAGACATATTTCATAGCTTTGATGTAAGTGATCCAATAAATTCGAGGCATTTGAAAACTTCCTTATTGCAAATGAGTGACAGAGTGATGTGGACTGTCAATATAACGGAATTAAAGAGTTATGAAACAAATGGGATATGTATCAAATTTATATTCTAAAAAAAAAAAAGCCCAATCAAATGCATGCTAGTAAAATAACAGAAATTCAATTACAGAAGACCAGAAGCTTGCGATATCAACAATCTCGGGCAATCCCACAAAACAGGAAGGAAAGCGAAAAGGGAAATGTTCTTTTTAACTCTGCTTTATAAGAGTATTAAAAGTTATCAGAAAGAAAAATACATTTAATTCTAAAGAGGTATTAAAATAAAATAATTCTTTACATGCAGAGTAAAATTATATTTTACTTTATCAAAATACTTTATAAAAATTGACTCAGATATGTCTAATTATCTTTTAGCTGAAGATAGAGGGAATCTAATTAGTAGGCATTAGATTGAGAGCTATCACTGAAATTTACAGCTAGAGATGCTTGACTCTAGACAAGTAAAAGCAACCATCTAGCAAACAACTACTAAACAAAATTTATTAGAACAGAACTTCTGGCCTTTCTCTGTTCTAATATACTCAGATGACTGCTGGCAGCATCATTTAGTTTGAATCAGTAACACTTTTGAGAGCAAAGCCAACAATGCTACTTTTTCATCACATAGATGTTCTGCAAGAGGTGTCAATATTCATGCATTAAAGAATGGGAGCAGGCTCCCACTGATTTCTTTCACTTGATAGCACTACTGGGAACACTGACTAGCCAATAATTTTCATGAAAGGGTTAGGAGCCAATACCCAATGTCCTCTGAAGCATCAATGCTGTCATCAAATTTAGGTGAACGCAGCAATTTGTATCAAAAGCTAGCAAACACCTTCTTATATGCAAAGACAAGAGAAGAAGTCTAAGAAAATCAGGATACAAGTGAAATATTGCACAGCTAGCACTCTAGAAATGAAAATCTTTTAGGGCAAATAATAGGAAGTTTAAAGTACAAAAATTATGGATGTATTTTATGAATAAAAGATTAAAACTGGAACAGATCCATATCAGACTACTAGGACCCGCTAAGCTATCAGTTAGTAGGGAAGAACCTCCTACACTGAAGGACCATTCTTTCTCTTTGAAGCTGTGACTATGAGCATACCAAGAATCGCCAGCACCGTGCTGTCCTTCAGGACTTCCATGGAACCTGAGCACACAAAGTAGATCGCTTGCAGGGCATCTCCCTGCCGGAGGAGATATTCCCCAGGAGCACAGAAGGAGGTTTTGATATGCAGAGACAGGGACCTGAGGCAACCACGGCTGGCACACTCAAAAAGGGAGAGCTGCAAAATCTCCTTGTTCAAGTGCATGGTGATGTCTGAACGCAGCTCATCCGGGAAGTCTTTTAAAAGCTGTCCGAGAAAGAGAAAAAGAGGCAAAAAAGAAAAAAAGTGTAAAATAGTTTGCTTCCTCTTCTGCAGAAGTGATCTGATTTAGCAGTACTGCCCATCTCGTACTGATGCAAATTTCCCTTTGATTTTTCTTATCCCCTTGATAAGATGTGGCTATGTCTTAATAAATCGTTACACTGATAAACACTGAAAAATTTCACAGAATCACAGGATGTTAGGGGTTGGAAAGGACCTTGAAATATCCTCTAGTTCAACCCCCTTGATAAAGCAGGATCACCTAGAGTAGGTCACTTTTTGGGAGAAAATATTAATAAGAATATGCCTGTATATCATATCATATCTTCTCAGAGAGTCTTCTGACGATGACATATAACTGTTCAAATCATCTTTCCTCTTGTCAAGGCACTGCATAAATTTCAGATGGAACTTTTAAAAAAACCATTTAAGTGCTTTCAGGTATCAGTCCCACTGATGCAAAGTATACTGCCTGCCTACAGGCAGAGCTCTGGACCATCCATGCTGCAAGTCCACAAGTGCAGTTCGCTCTGTTTAAGAGCGAAGTTTAAGAGGATCAGACACCCGACCAATGCGATCAGCCAACACTTCTCCAAGTGGGCTTAGACAAAGCAGTTCGTGGATGGGAGGCAAATCATGAAATACTGATGGTCTCTTCAGAGGCTGCTGTTGTAGTACAGCAGTCACTCACCTTCAGTGCGACTAAAGGTACAGAAGTTGAAGGTGATCCTTAAAGAAATCTAGGAAAGTTTTGATATCTAAGTGGTTTTTCCACTTTTGTAAATCTTACCAGGCTTCTTCTATGGCTAGGATGCTGTTGAAAATCCTATTCTTTGTGCTGTGCACACCACAAAAAGAATTTGTCAGGAAAACAATGTTCTCAAACCTAAATCTTTCTGCTTATTTCCACATTATCTTTAGAGGTCACAGAGTTTTATAATGACATATATAAGAACTCTGAAGAGAATAGTTCATTCAAATAACACTCCAGCAGAGAGAAGCCATTATTTCTTCTGGAGCACAGTGGTGCATAACCTGGATAAGTCATTTAAAACAAGTAAGCAAAGACAAGACCAGAAATTTGTCTTTTGATTTCACTCTCCTGTTGCATTCTGCAATATTTAAAAATATAAGGAAATGAAAAATATAAAAAAAAAATCAGGCCAAACCACTTGTTTACACTATTGCAAAGAATAAAATAAAATGAAAGAAGGACGAAAGGGCGGTGAAGAAGTCTCTACTTTAAAAAAGGTCTAAAAAAACCACTGGATTTTTTGTTTGATGAAAGGCAAAACTGTTCACTAGGGTGTTTCTGCTGGCATCATCCGAAAGTTTTCTGATGAATGCCTATTCAGTGTTTGAGAATTACAGAGGACTTCGAATTTTTCATATATGATATGATGTTCTAAGCCAGGTTTTAACAGCATACCCTCTTCCTGGGATAGCCCAGCTTTATTTTTAGGCATGTTCTTTTTTATATGTAACTTCATACAAAACACAGCATCACAAATGGAAAATTACAGCCCTCCTCTTTCCTTCCCTGCCCTCCCCTTCCTCATCCCCTGACTCTAAGTCTCTGGTCAAGACCATCAAACACAATCTCCCTGGTTTGGTTACCTCATTGGAATCGATTCCATTATTGACAGACCACGTGGTTTGGAAATATTCAAGCATCCTTTGCTTTAGCTGCTGTGGCAGGTGATGGACCCGTATAAAGTCCTTCAGATCCTTGGTTCTTGTATGATAAAGGGACCATCTGGAGTACATCCTCTGAATTATGGCAGTCACATTGCCAAACACCAAGGCATGCATCAGAGCTAGGGAGGATAGAAATTATGTGCAATGTGGAGTGACTTGTTGATCATTAAAATGTAACACAGAAAATAAACAGTATTAAATAAAATAAAAGTATTAAACAGTATGAAACCCAGACTCAAATACTCAGTTTGCAACTGCACAGAACATAATAGGTTTCAGAGAGCTCATATATATAAAACCATTTACTAATGGGGACCAAGTGTAGCGGAATGAGATTGCAAACAACATTTAGAAATGTATCATATTCTGGGGAATGAGACGTCAAAAAAAACCCGAGAAAAAAAATTATCAAGCAGACATTCTGGTTAACAAAGATATATTCAAACTGACAATCTGATTTCTTATGTTGCTTGAGAAGGTCAAACAAAGTGTGAAATTGTTTATCAGAAAGTTCTGACATCCTGGAGCTTGTCTGCAATTAGAAACTGGCTTGGGAATAAAAAGACCAGAAGCAAAATTGAAGAAATCCTTATAGATACAGGTTGTCTGGGTCTGTCTGTGCAGAAATGTTCTTGCTGATTATCAGTGGGAAAAAACACTGCTAGATTGCCTATCATATGGTATTGATCTGAGGCATATAATATATGCGTTTATAAATTGTTTATTGAAAAAACTATTAAAGAAATTGATTATTACTCTCAAGGGACACTAGCTTTATGGTACTTGAAAGAAAGCAGACAGGCTCCTCATAGTGGTAAAGGAATTGTTTCATAAACAAGATAAACAAGATATATAGCAATTTGCAGAAAATTGGTGTGAGAACAGGTGGGGAAATAGGAGGAGGAAAGTACGCTTTTTGGTGGTTAGTAATGATTTTACATGGTAAAAACTGCCAGAAAACTCTCCAGTTTGGAGTCTTGAAAATTTTTACATGCTGATTAAAATACAAAGGATCTGGTAACAATATCTATGTCTTTATTGTGGAGTGAATGTAGAAAAATAGATAAGACACTGCAGTGTGATGTAGTTTCACAATACAATATGCATTCTTGCGAAGGTGGTTCAATGAGATTATTAAGTCAATACAAGTCCATTAGTAAAAGATAAATGAAAAGCACGGCAGAAAGAAAATGATCAGATATTAATATTAGAAAGAAAAATAAGAACAACTGGAAATTTATTTCTAAGAATAATCAGCTGGATGAAGTAGGTGTTGTGAATTGTTAAGCTATTAATGTCAGGAGCTTGGGCACCAGAATATGGGGGACTGCTATAATGTTAGATACAGGATATTGTAATAGAAATATGACAGCCAGGCCTGAAACAATTCAGCCAGGCATAGCTCAATAGGCTAAAAAGATAGTGCAGCCTCTTTAAGGATGTGATAATCAGTTTAAAATGGAGGAGAAATAAAGCATTAGGTGGTGTGTGGATGCATATGTTATAATCATGTAGGAGCTGGACAGTGTAAAGATCTCCTTGATGTTATTATAGACATGAATACCATCAAGAATTTTATTACTATGGGAGAATCTGTATTTGTGTATGTACACTGGAAGGAAACAGTGATGATAAGTTACTCCTAGCTGTAATAACCATCGAAATTTTTTTATCAAATAATCACAGATCCACCCTACTTTCTGTAAGAAAAATACGAATCCATTCTCTAAAACCAAGTAGGACAAGTTAAAAAAACTTTTAGGAAAACTGTATTTCATAATGTGGCCTTGATTTTAATGGCTATTCTAAATTAAATTCTTATTGCTTAGGGAGCAGAGGAACACCTCTGATCCCAGAAATGACTGGAGCTACTGGAAAGGGCCTCCAGTCTCATAAATACAAAACTGCCCATTCTTTGCTCAAAGAACATGGCGAACACAAGACAGCATATGACAGTCATCTGCAGTAAGACAGATCTGATTAATATTTTAGAGATGCAGAATAACTGAAAAATTCTGGTTAAATTTTAATAAATAACTTTTCTTTCCAACTTTATGAAGGTATACTGTATAGAATGTTTTATCTTCACGGTATCACTTGTCTTAAGTTGTAATTTCAAATTCATGCAAAACAAACATTAATAAGAAGACAGATCAAACTCAAACAAGAATATTATAAGTTATTTATCTGTTAAATTAACAATTCATTTTTGTTTTCTGGCTTCAGCTTCTTTAAGGTTGCAATAAATTCACTTCACCCTTTAAGTTTTTAGTGACACATGTTAAAGAGGTACAGACAACTACTGATAAACTAAATCATGTTATCCGTTACACTCGAAATTTCATAAGCTAATAGCTTGATCTGAAAATTGTGAAAAGCTTATAAGTTTTCTCAAGACATCACTTTCCACTAGGGTATTTTAAAATTAAGTATCAGCCAAAACTGTACTTCAAAACAAGCTTTAAGAACTGAGAAGGTATTATGCTCCAAAGCATACAGACTAGTACTTTATTCCTAGGTAAGAGGTTTCTGAGGTGTGCTCACCAGTCTCCACTGTATGATGCTAACTCCTTCTAGTTTCCTTGCTATGCTGATTTTCTCAGATAGCATCTGAAATAACGATTCCTCAATAAAATACCTGCAAACCAATCTGCTCTGCTTTCTTGGCTGGATATATCTGGTTCACTGGACCATCTCAGATGTAGCTATTCTTCTAACTGCTTGCCTATGTTTAACTTTGCCTTTCAGTTTTCATTTCCCTCTTACTACATTCAGCTGACCAGTTCTTCAGAATTTGTTCATTGCACAAGCATATTAGTCCTACTGCTCAATAATATAAGAAATGAAAAAGAAATTGCTATAACTGGCCTAAAAAAGGTATAGGATACCTTTATATTCCACTCCAATAAGTTCGTGAAAGCTCTGTCATATCAAAGTGAATTAAATATTCATCATTGCCTTAAACAGGATATGTCTTGATGTAAACGAAAATTCTTTTCTTCATTCCAACAGATTTGATGTAGTGAAAACCCCAAAGCAGTAAGACCACATTGTATTTTAAAACTATAATTTTATACTACCAGCAAAAGCAATTAATGAACTGCTTGTGATTTAATGATGTTGTCAAAATCAAAATGATATAATATTTAGATGATTCATTAGATTATTGCCAGTCATTTTCAGGACAGGGAAAATAACAACAATTCACCGAACAGTTCTTATACAACTTCATGTTGCAAATATATAGTTCATGGGTCATTCATTGTGTTCCCTAGCTTTCAGGTGTCAAGTTGCCAATTTATTTTTGCCCAGGAAAATTTATGCCTCAAATCTGATAACCCGTGCCTTACTGGCTAGCCCTGGAGAAACACCTACTAGTATTTCCAGAAGAAATAGGCAAGCAGTAAAAAAAAACAAAGCAAAAAAAAAAAAAAGAGATGGGAAGTACTCTAGCAGTGATCTACTTTTACCCTTCACATTCATTGTGACATCTTTGAGTTGTAAGATGCACAAACTATGAAACAGCATAGCTGATTTTTTTTGGAGGAGGAAGATGAAGATAAAGAGAGAGCTGTGGGCACTTTCTCTAGTGACCTGAGTTTACCAAGCTCTGCAGGTGCCACCAGCTCACTGGTTATGCCCAGGAGCTTCAGCAGAAAGAAGGTGACTGTAAATGCGCACATGGCTTTCCCCAACAGCAACTAGGTAATTAAAATAACCAAATAATGCTAAGAACTCCACATATAACAAAAAACATTGTGTTTTGATTCTAATCTGAAGCAGTGACATAGTAAAATGTACTTAATGATAATTAAACTGCTTTCTATTTATGATAGGGCCACTCAAGGCTCACCAAACAGCATTCCTGGCTCTGTCATATCTCCATCATCTTCTCTCTGGGCTGGTCCTTCAGATGAGGATACGCACCAGCTCACAGACAGACTCACCTGTGTGCTGCCTGCATGTCCTTGTGATCATTCTCAGGGCTGCTGTGAGGACTGAACTGGAGCTGAACATGCATCTAATACCTGCCTTACTGGAAAAGTGCCTGCATTAACCAAAATCCCCTGGCACTTGGCTGGGCCATACTCACTGACAGCAATGAGTTTGCATTTTACTGATTGACAACTCTCTTTTTTTTGCCATAAGTGATCAAAAGAAATATGCCTGTTTAAGAAAGTTTATCTAGTAAAACTAAGAAAGTTACTTCTTTCTTTTGCCATTTTAAATTAAACTATCCATTGTGAGTTTTTTATTTTGGGGATTTTTTTTAAAGAATCTTTGCAAAATTCCAGCTCTTATTTTACTTGTCCATATCCTCCTCAAAATGTTTTACATGATGCTTAGCATTTGTACCTACCCCCAATAAGCATTGTGCAAATGGAGAAGATCTTTTCAGCATCAGTATTGGCTGAAACATTTCCAAACCCAACACTGGTGAGGCTGCTGAGGGTGAAGTACAGGGCAGCTATATAGGCACTTCTGATTGATGGGCCTCCTAGTGTATTGTTCTCGTAGTAAGGAGACTCAATACGTTTTCCTAGCTCATGAAGCCAACCTGAAAAACAAAGCATAAAAGGAACTATTAAGGAGTACTGACACCATGAAAACTACACACTCTGTGAAATAAAATAATTCTAAAAAACCCCATTTATTAAGAAGACAGCATGTTCTTCACAAAACTCCAGAAATAGAAAGAACATTATACTGCGGGAATTTTCACAGAATGTTAAGTACTGTGTCTCTGGAGTATTTATTTTTATGAATGATTATTTATGATAGGAAGTGTGTTTCTGTATGGAGATCAAATGATTTTGAATTGCATATTACATCTCAGATAATTCAGAATATCCATTAAGACACTGAAAGGAAAAAAACAATCACCTAGTAACACTGCAGCAAGAATGCAACATTGATTTTATTCTTTCCATTCATTAATGCTTGGAAAGCTGTTCGAGATTCTAAGACCAACTTGTTATAATAATAATTACATATTTAGAGCTTTTTACATTTCATTTTAGAGCAGAAAAGATTCAAACAACTAAACATGCAAACCAGAGTTAATTTTCAAAAGATGTTTCATTATTTTCTAAATTGTTTATTTAATCCTTCCTTCTATGTGTACTAGAGAAAGTAGAATTAGCTACCACCTCAGAGATGTTTAAAAAACAACAAAAAAAACCCCCAAAGAAACCCCTAAAGCAACAAACAAGGAAAAAGTATGCCATTCATTTTTTCTGTAAAGCAAAAAGAGACAACCTGAATGAACTGCATAAACACTATGCTTCACAAAAAACAAGGTAGAAAAAAAAGATAAAAGTGAATTTAAGTGTCTAGTTATGCCTATTAAGCACTTTGCTTGGGAGACTGGGAATTTTCACTGAATATTCAGGGAGAACCACCAAAATAAAATATTTCTGGCAGACAGAATTATGTTTCAGAAAAATTGGTTGAGGTTCCCTCTGCTGTAAGCCGAGACTTGAGAGACTGAATCACTTCCTGAAGCTTACTCTCTCCCTCTTCAGTCAACATCCATTTCTTCATCTGGGATGAATTCAATCATGAACTGAGGGAAACCCCCATATAAAATATAGCTGCAAACCAGGAGGCATATTTTAAAGTATCTGCCTCAGCACTTCCAATGAAACTGGGCAAAAATGTGTAAGAATTTATCACCTACAGCAGACTTGCTGAGCCATGGTGGCCACCACAGAGAGCCACCCCCAAATCTGTGCTCTTTTACACAGTCTCCTATGGAGAAAGCTGAGCGAGGAGGGTTTGAAGAAATTCTATAGGATGAGGTATCATCGAAAGTATATAAAATGGTGACAGCTCTTCCAGATCAATTATACTTCTCAGATTTTTGTTGATAGCACTACATTTTTTTTTCATTTGGGTGTAGAGACAAGATACTGTTTAGCCAATAGATGTCATTAAGAGGTAGCAAAATTGACTAATACTTTTTACTTTTTTTGGTTCCTGTAGGTAATAGCTCTCAGGAGATTCTCTGGCAAACTTGAATAATTAATTTTTGCCCTCCAGGAAGAAGAGAAAAATAAATATACCTTATAGTTAGAGGGAACTTCCTAGCATGCAGCATTATGAGTTATCTGGTTCTGAATTAGCATTATCTAGATATAGCTCTGTGACTTTGAAAACATTTCTAAGCATCAATTAGTATAATTAAGAGGAAGATTTTTCAAAGGGAAAAAGAGCACTTAAGTAATCAAGTCTCATTAAGAAAAGTCAGTAGGAATTGGATATCTAGCTGCATTAGGCTTCTTCAAAAATTGCTTGAAGGATCTGTATTGGGTTCCATTTAACTGTATCTGGGAAGTGCTCAAGCACCAACGGAAACATAAACAAGCATTTAAGCATTCATAGATGACATACTTTATAACCAGATATAAAACACATTATCTCATTTACTGGACCTCCAGAAACTCAGTCTTCTCTCTATTTGATGCTTGTACTACGTTGAGTAGGTACATCACTCCCTGTAATTTGCAGATTCATTCTATACTGTTACTCAGATTTCCCTTACATGCCAGGTGCTTAACATACAAAAACCCTGTCTGGAGCTTCAGCAGCTTAGAAAATAGCTGCATGTTCTAATGGGTTAATTACCTACAACATTTATTCTATAAAACAGACAAACATTTTTTTTTCAGTTCAAATGCAGAACAAAACTCTCTGGTTTATTCTGCACTACTTTGTCAGGAGGTATGGAGGAAGAGTATCTTTTAGAGCATCCCTGAACAACTGAAAGCGAGAAGGGTTCCTGTGTAGACCAATGGTGATGATGATAGAAGAGAAAGGGTGGGACAAAAATCTCATGTTCTCTTAGCTGTGGTTCCATATCAAATTCAGGGACTAAATATTTCTAGAGGAGATGTTAAGTTAGAAAAGCCTATCTGCCCTCATGTCATCATTGTTTTTTGTTTAAACAGTATTTGAACCTCATTTAGACCATATTTGACCCTTTCACCCTAGTGAGGAAAGAGAGTAATCAATGCTGCTGATAGTAGGGAAGAGAATATTTAATGAGTAATGCTGGAGTACACTAAAGGACACTGTCAAGTGTGGGCTGTCTTTAAGGGCTATGTTTCAGTTTATGTTCTTCTGGCTCAACTGAAAAGCGCTGGATCTCTAAATGAAAGCACAAAAGATATAAATTTCTTTATTAGATGCCACATTTTCTTCATACTTATCCAAAACATAGAACTGTACCTTATGAAATAGCAGGCTATACAAAACAACCTAAAGCTAAACCAAGCCTAGAAAGACTGGAGAACTAAAGAAAAAGTATAAGTCACCAAACACTGAAAAATTATCGTTTAAAAATGTCCTGAATTGGAGCACATACAGCTTTTTGATGTAAACAGTTTATACCTTCTAATATAGAAGTGTCCGTCTTATGTCTACCAATACATATTGCAGTGAACAGTTTAGGGTCATTAAGTAAAAGATAAAAACTATACAATAGAAATTAGGATCATTAAGTAAAAAATAAAAACTATACAAGAGAAATTAGATCATCTACGTTTTCTCCCGAGATTATTGATACACTAAACAGCATCATTGCTACTACTTAATCCTGTGAAACATCACTGTTATCCTTTCACTGTCAAAAAAACCCCAGATCACTTGTTTACAGGTTCAATCTATATTGGAGTTTTTCCTATCGTGTTAGGAGAGACTGCTCTCTACCCTCTGGGAGCAGAGCTCAGGCTCCAGCCATGATGCCTAGGAACTGCCATGCATGCAGCAAATATGGGGATTAGTGCTTTGGATCAAAGCATGGCAGAGGTATCTACCCTCCACAGTTCAGAGTACCACCTTTGTCTTTCTTTTAGCACACACTAACTGTGTATTTTCAGATATAATTTATGTCTATTTTAATATTTCCCCCCCCTTTCTTTGCCTGGGTCATAATCCTTGATACCATTCTGCTGCATTCATTGCACTAGCTTATTCAGATAATGAAGAGTTAACTGTGTTAACCTTGTACAAGCAGATTGTACTCGACCTCTGGGCTCAAAGGACTTTTAACTGCCAATGGAACTGAAGCATGTGGATATTACCATGAGGGAAACTACAGAACATTTTAAATAGATATATATAAAAGTTTACACACTTTTGCTTGATGAAAGCCCACAGTATGGAGGATAAAAAACACCTCAAAATCCCTTTAATATGCAGTCAAAGAGGAAAAAAGTGACCTGTTTTCTATCAAGTACACTATGTCTCTTTCTATTAAGCAGATAAAATCTTTAGAGGGAAGAGGAAAAAATTTATAAGAAGATTTCGTGCTTCAGATCTGAGATGTTCATCTATTTAAAGCCTAATGCACTAACCAAAATAAAGCCTTCATTCATGTAAGTTCTATATATATATAAGTTAAACCTCCTTGTGAAATCCTTAACAGTGTATTTTGGGGAGCTTGTAAACAATAGCAATGACAAGAAAGGTAATATTTTAAAATGAAAACAAAAATAGTTGGGAGTTTCAAAACTATGCCCTTCTTGGAAACAAACGTTGATGACACATCTCTTCAAATTTATACATGAGAATTCTTGAGCAGCAAATTTTGGAATTGTTGGTGTACTAGAAGCTAAGTGGACACTAGGAATGGATAGATTCAATAAAAATTATATTTGATTTCTGTTGCAGAGAAGCTGGATAAATTTTTTATTATATCTCTTCTCAAATTAACAAATGAAGTAAGAGATGGTCATGAGCCAAAATACAAGGCATAAATGTGCTCCTAATAATGCTGAGATTTGGGCCATATCTTTGCATCTAGTTAATTTCTTTATTATGGATCAAAGGAAAAAAATAAACCAAACAACCAGAATTTGAACATATGTCAGATAAAATTGCAATGCTCTGCCAGTCTTTGGGAATTCTACCACTGATCTTCAAGCATCTGTAAAATCATCCAGAAAAAAGTTTGAACTTGGACATAGCACAGTCAGAAAAGAAAAACAAAGAAAAGAAATGAAGGTCCCTGTGTGCCCCACTGCTCCATGAAGCTCGCACACTCAAGATACACCAACCTGTGTAGTCAAAGGTGTGTAGGTGAAATAGTTGCCTTCACATCTGGTTCCGTTTGAATGCCCACCTTATCTGATGGGGTACCCTTTGCAGATACATTGAATGATGTTCTTCTTGGACACTTGGATGCAGAGGAATCTGTATCCTTCCCTAGATCCTTAGGGAAAATTTTTAACTAGCTAGAGACATTCAGTGAGACAGATGTTTCAGAGACTTAAAACCCATGTAGTTTTCCAAGCTAAATGCATACTCCATGTTGTTGAAGCATTTTTAGATACAAGCTTAACCTTTGTCATGTCTATCAAAAATTAATATAGTTTAAAAGGTAACATCTTATGAAATAATTTTGTAAGGTTTATTAATACCCTTTGTAAATAAACTGACTCCTATATTTTTAATTGAATATATACTTAGAAGCGATCATAAAAATAATTACTTTTTATAGAGTTTTAATTCATGTAAATTAAGCAAATCATAACAAGATATTGACCCATTGTGTTC